TGAGGGTTGCGATCCGTTGCCGGACACGAAAAAAGACAAAAAAAGGGGAAAAAAAAAAAAAGGATAGCTCATTCCTGGATTCTTTTAATTCTGATGTATGTCTAAGCATACATATACATGACTTGCACAATTCACCACCACTAATAAATACACCTTATTTTAGTATATGGATTTTAAATGAGTCAATAGTCAGCTAGCACATTCACCCTGATTAAAAAGATATAGTGAATTTAGAACAGGCTCTTTATTGAACAGGCTTAAATGCACTTAGCACATTGTCATTTTGAGTGAGATTAAAAATTGAAGTACATTCTATACTTTATACTTAGACATTAAAAAATGTAGTTTGCATTTTCTCTAAAAGTATAAATCAAGTTTTAGTTCATGACTTGATTAAAGAAAATTTATTCTCACAAAAATTATTCCTATTCTTCTTCAAGACATACAACTTTGGTTTTTAAACATAAAATAAGGTATTATCGAATACAGTTCCACATCCTACAGAGATAACAGTGAAACACCAATGAATACATTTTTTATGATTCTCTCTCATATTAAAAATAAACAAACAAACAAAAAACAAGAGAAATGAGTCTGTCTCCTAAAAGCACACAATATAAAATCTAAAGGTTTTCTTGGCCTAATTCTGGGGATTTAAACCAATTTCCCTGGGAAGAGTCGTCTTCCTTTTTCCTTTTTCCTTTTTTTTTTTTTTTTTTTGTCTTTTTCCGTGACCGGCCACGGGATTGCAACCCTCGGTGTTGCTCCCACACCTCGCTCAGCCAGTGAGCGGCCGGTCTGTACGTGGGATCCGAACCCTCGGAGGGAGCGCCACCACACTTCCACTCCTTTTTGATTTGATTCCCACAGGAGCCAAAACTTTCTTCCTGGTCCACTGCTCTGATATCGCTGCCCTAGGCCAAAACCCTCTGTGGCTCCTGCTAATAGAATAAACCCCAACCTCCTTCAACCCTTCACGAGCTGCCCCTGATGTCCTGGCCATCTCCACGTGCACCCCGAGCTCCAGGCCCCTGGGCCCCTGGTTTCCCCTGCAACTCTGCTTCGATGCTCAGGCTTTACCTTCTGCTTGGAATGACCTTCACTCTTCACCTCCCCAACAGTCACTATCAACAACACCTCACTCCTTCCTGACCCAGCTTTAACTCCCCTTTTCCAAAAGTCTTCCCAAACTTAAATCCATCCCTCCCACACCCCATTGGATTATCCCTTTTCTATGGCACTATTTTGGATTATTCCTTTTCTATAGCACTATTTTTCTATTTTGGTGTTGTATGTTCATCGCACAGGCATCTCCCCAAAAGACAGGCAACTCTTCAACTCTGTGGCCCTCCTGCCACCCCTCCACCCCACCCCTACACGTAGCACAGTTGTTGCACAAAACAGCGCCTTGACTCTTGCTTTTGGTATGGTATTTACTTAACAGGTGCTCACTGTGGCAGTGTAACTCCTAGTAGCTCAGGAAATTGACTAAATTCAAATCCTGCCTCTATCTTTTACCAGCTACAGAATCCTTTCTGTGCCTCAGTGTACTCATTTGTAAATAGGTATAGTAATAAAGCATGCTTCATTGGGTTGTTAGAGAATTAATGATTGAACATATTTTAAGTGCACAAAACAAGGCTTGATAGTTAAGCATCACTCAATAAATACTGCCTAAAGAGAAAAACCCTAGACCTAAATAAGCAGATTTTAAAACATACCCTCTAAGCCAAGTTGACTTATTTGAAAGTAGAATGATCAATAAGATAACTAACAGTTTATAAGTCTCAAGGTATAATGAGGGTTATGACATTTAAAAAATTATATTTATATTTACACATTAGGTTTGGAATCAATTCATTTAGAGGGCATACTGCAGGTGGAACAATTAAAGTCCAGAAGAGCCCTCAAAGATCCATTGTAAGATGTGATCACTTTCCCAATTTATTGGTCAAGAAATTGGAAACAAATCTGAACCAAAACAGTCACACTGAACAGCAGCAGCTGAGGCATCTTATTCAGTGCAATGTGCCAGGGACGCCAAAGTCCCTTATGGAAAATGCAGCTCAGGACTTGCTGCCTTTACAAGGTAGAGACTTTCAGATTGGGGTTTATTTGGAAAAGTGCACCTGACCCCCCACATTCTTGGCACCCC